ACAACATTTATATAATTTCATATAATTTAGTTATATAATTTCATATACATAATTTGATTTAATAATAACCCAATTTGAAGCAAAAACAGAATGTTCTGACTAGCTTTGTGAAATTATACTACATGCCTGAACGAAGCAAACAGCACAAGCTCTGAATGAGACGCGGATTCACTCTCTGACAGCAGGAGGTGCTTCTGGAACACCAGATACAGTGTTTCCTTGGTTACCGCTGTAAACAAAGCAGCGCTGCGCTGAAACACTGCTTTAATATTAGTGGTGGAAATTTTGATTCTTTCAAGAGATTCGTTAATTTTCAGTTCGTTCACCAAAATGATTCGTTCAGATTCGTTCACGGATTCGTTCAGTGACCATTTCTTCCTATTGCATAAATACGCCAGCAGGTGGCAAAAAAGAGTGTCTTATGTGTTATGTCTTAAGTCAACGAACGTATTTACTTATTACAAAAAACTGATTTGGCTTTATTAAAATGTGTGCATAATCTACTCATTAAATAAATAAAGTCTAAATAAGTTGTTCAGATGACCAAAGCACAAGGTTTTCTTGCATAATTGTCATTTCATTCACGAACGAGATGTACCAGTTCATTCAGCTCGTTCACGAAACGACATGTACCAGTTCGGTCATTTCGTTCACGAATGAGAAGATCTCTCTCGTTCAGACTCAAAAGAAACTTGGTCAGTGAAGGGCGTATTCGTTCACTACATTCAACAAATCACATTCTCTGTCACATCTCATACTCGAAGGCTATTCAGTTCACAGAGCTACCATTATCTTTCTGTAATATTAAAATTAGTTTGATGATCTGAATCTTTCAAGTGTGAGAAACATGGAAAAAAAAATAAATAAATAAAAATAAAGGAAGGGGGCAAAAACTTTTTCACAGCACTGTAAGTTTACAATTAACAACAGAGCCCTTATAACTTATAATAATCAACACTCAAATACAATTTTTAAAAAAATTGTATGCAAACATATAAATTATTTTTAAATTAACTTCTAAATTATACAAGTCATAACTAAGTCATAACTATACAAGTCATTTAAATATTTATTTAAACATATAGTAGGGCAGGAAGAATAGGTTCCCATGCACCCGCTTGGCAGTTTTTTGTAACCCTAATGGTGTCTAGTTAAGAATTTTTGATGTTGCCGAGATCAACTAATGTTCCATGGGGTTCGTTTGGTGGCCATCTTGAAATTATATCATCGCGAGTGGCGAAAAGCACATTTTGATAACTCCTGAACCGTACAACATACAAACACAAATGAACCCACTTTTTCATATAATTCTGACACCAGGAATCAAATGGAAAGGTCATTGACATGATACAACCACTCTTTATTGGTGAAAAACAGGCAAATTTAGTTTCAGATAAACTGAGTAATCAAAATGTGTTTTTCGCCACTCGCAATGATATAATTTCAAGATGGCCACCAAAAGAACCCTGTGATGAGTGGGGCGGGGCCGAGAGCTGTGGGAATGGAGCGAGGCCAGTGGAGTGAATGATAATGAGCGACACCTGCGCCACTCACCGGTCTCAAGTCCCACGGAGGAGCTCCGGAAGGATAAAAGGAGGAGTGACGACAGTGCAAGACGAGAGAGGACCAGGCCTGGATTTTATGTTGTTTTGTTTGTGCACAGCAGTCGTCCGTGAGGGGCTGTCGCGCTATTTAAAGTTTTGTGTTTATTTTATTATTAAAATTATGTTTAAATGTTTGCCGGTTCCCACCTCCTTCTTCCCCGAAATACGAACTTTGTTACAAACCCCATGGGACATTAGTTGACATTAGTTGACCTCGGCAACATCAACAATTCTTAACTAGACACCATTAGGGTTACAAAAAAACAGGTTACAAAAAACTGCCAAGCGGGTGCATGGGAATCTATTCTTCCTGCCATACTAACATACATTAAATAATTAAGACATCACTAACAGGTAAAGTAAATATAATGAAGTATAGTCTAATATTTCGCAAAATGTTCTTCAATAGACTTCATTTCTCTAGCAAATAACGAGCTGTAAACACTTTTGACTTGCCCGAGGTAAATGAAATGCTATTTTATTGACATCTTTCTGCGGTTGATACACTAATTGAGCGATTATGTGAGGGGTGAGATGTTCATTCATGTATATTTCACATTTAAACTAGTAATAAAGAGGAAGGGGTGATCACGCTCACTCACGCTCTGCGCATTTATACAGCGATCTGTCGCGCCCATAGACTGTATAAAAACATGGACGTAGTGTCCGTGACGTCACCCGTAGGTTTCTGAAGAGCGTTTTTGAAGCTCAAAGTTGGCGGAGCCAGCCGTCGCCATCTTGGCAGCGCGTCACCGCGCATCACTCCCAGATAATCGAAAATGGGTGAAGAGGCGGGAGCCACGCCCTTAATTATGCAGAACTTTAAGGCTTAATATAATTTAAACGGATGAGTTATAAAAAAAATGCACCCTCCTCACAGTTGTCATGAAGGGCAAAATTAGCTATATAGACCAAAACCACTTTTTGTACCAGGCTGTAAACATGTTTTTTTCTGCTGTAAAGTTGGGCATTTTAACATCTATGGGACTGACTCCCCTTTGGATTTAGCATATTATTAGATTAGCATTCTTTTAAGGATTAGCATCTGCTTAATTTATCATTTGTTAAGAACAATGTGGTGAGTCCTTATTTTGTACTCTCTTTGTGCAAAATGGCATATATATTTTCATTAGTCAATCAAATAAATAGAAAAAAAAAACTAACTTTTTTCTATCATCGCAAATTACTGTTTTTTTTTTTCAATTAACATTATTTTTGACAGCCCTATTATCATAAATCCCTGTGGTCCCCTGTATATTTTTAAGTTTAGGTATATGTGTCTATGTTTAACATCTAGAAAAGGTGTTAATCACATCCCTTGCTTAATGCCCGTGGGAAGGGGAGCAAGTTTGATCTGGGCTTGGATCAAAGCCAGGTGTGAGGCTGTTCCCAGCTGTCATGATGAGTCTCCTCTTCACACACAGTTCCTGATGGGAGCAGACAGCCACCCTTCCTGCACCCCCCAAAGCTAATCACAGTTTCCTTCCTTGCCCCCACCTAAACCTCCATGATTGACAGTCTTCAAGCACTAATGATTCACTTCACGGATGTTTGGGTCTGTGCGGCACACGGAATCGAACGACTGCTGTCAGAGTGGGGATATAGGGTTGCAAGAGTAAAGGAAGAAGCAAACACAGCTTATGTTATAGAATTTAGTGAAAAAAAGACCATATGTAATTTGATGCAAAACAAAAACAAGGCCTTAAGGATTATTAGCAGTCAGTATGTAACTGTCAGAATGAAAAATATTTCAACTAATTTAAAAGAACAATAACAAAAATCTTGGAAAAACACTGCAGTATGTTGAACTGACTATATGTAATATGCCGTGTCCTTTGAAGTTGATTAAAGCAACTGAAAAGTATGTTGATTATATATACTCCACTATTCAAAAGTTTGGTGTCAGCGAGAGTTTATTTTTAATCAATAGTCAGTAATACTGTGAAATATTATTACCATTTAAAATAGTTTTTTTTTATTACATTTTAAAATGTAATTTATTCTTGTACATTTCTCATTGTCAATGTTGAAAACAGTTGTGCTGATTAATGAAGTGTGATTTTTTTTTTTCAGAATTCTTTGCTGAATAGAAAGTTCAGAAGAACAGAATTTATTTGAAATATAATTTTTGCAACATTATAAGTATATTTTCTGTCACTTTTGATCAGTTTTATGCAGCCTTGCTGAATAAAAGTATACATTTCTTTAAAATAAATCTTACTGTATATAAAATTATACACACAACACTCTGTATGCTTTTGGTTACAATTTATTTTGATAGTCCACTTTAGACATTCTACTAACTATAAGTAACTTTAAAGCTACATGTCAAGTGACTAGTAATTAGATTATTAGTAGAGTGATAAATTCGGGTTAGTAGAGTAAGTTGAACTTTGTACTTTCAAAATTATTTATGGTCAGTAAAATTTCTATTAAGGGACCATCAAAACACACTATTAGCAGATATTAAGCAGGCAGTCTACTAGTTGCTGTAGTTGCAACATTACTTAGGCCTAGAGTTAAAATGTGTAGTTGAAAATTGGACTATCCAAATATGAATTGTTACCGTGCTTTTTGTAGCTCGTTTATACCCACAGCATTACCTCATATTTTTCTTATAGTTTCCTAAGGGTGAGGGGGTCACAAAGGAAAGTCCAAATCCAGAGCATGTTTCCATGTCACTGTTGTCACTGTAAAATATCCCCCAATTTTCTCAAACATGCCCCTCTGCCTTTGTAAGTTGTGAAGTGACAGAGAGAGTTATGACACCCCTGCCACTCTTCAGCACTGGCCCCAAGGGACACTGACTCAGCCTGGGGACAGACTGAGCTTGGGATCTCTCTCAGTCGGTCTAACACCTCCCCTGGGGCCACCATTCAACCACCCTCACAGTCCCAAACTGTAGGCTAAGCGTCCCAATTAGAACAGTCCATTGGGTCTTTGGAGGAAAGCACACCTCCAGCACAGGAGAATCGATGGTCAGTTGGTTGCTGAAGTGTCACAATTTACTTGCAAAGCTCAGAGGCCGTGGCCAGCTTCATCATGACGTGCCGGGAACTGTGACCGTAAAGCACAGGCACCCATTACCATGGTGGCAAAGACTTGCCGCATGCAGAAGTTTGAGCTCTCGTCCTAGACTTTTTGACATGGCATGTCAGCTGGAGTTTGTGCGAACAGCCACTGACAGGCACTAACCTCACTTAATGACAAGGAGATGTGTTGACGAGGGAAAACGTGACCATGCATTTTTCATGAGCTCTGCACATCAGTTCAAGAATGGTGCTGTTTTTTTTGTTTTGTTTTTTCCCCATGTTCTGGAGTTCTTGTAGCTTAGGTCATATTTATACGGTTCTGTTATCCTTATGTGTCATGCATTCATGTTTGTGTCTCTGACAGACATCTCCGCCACAGAGTTCATGGAACGCCGTAGCAATCTGAAGAGCAGGTACGAGCTGCTTGGCGACTTCCTGTCAGACATGCTGTCTGTGGGGGCAGACGACGTCAACATTTTCAGTCTGGTGGAAGTGCGGCACAGGACTCTGGATGTGAGGTTTTCCGTTCACAGCACGCCGTTCCTCAGGGCCGAGAGAGTCCATGGATACCTTGCAGCTCATAAACAAAAGGTAAGGCTTGTCAGAAACACGGATATGAATATAGTCATATTAGACCTTGTAATTAACCTAGGAATCGCTCTAAAAGCATGCACACCATGGAACGCCGTAGCAATCTGAAGAGCAGGTACGAGCTGCTTGGCGACTTCCTGTCAGACATGCTGTCTGTGGGGGCAGACGACGTCAACATTTTCAGTCTGGTGGAAGTGCGGCACAGGACTCTGGATGTGAGGTTTTCCGTTCACAGCACGCCGTTCCTCAGGGCCGAGAGAGTCCATGGATACCTTGCAGCTCATAAACAAAAGGTAAGGCTTGTCAGAAACACACGGATATGAATATAGTCATATTAGACCTTGTAATTAACCTAGGAATCGCTCTAAAAGCATGCACACTTCAGTGTGGAATAACTGCAAGCTTTAACACAATTTTCACTTGCTTTCACTTATTCATAATTAGATGAGACCTAATGTATTAACCCAGCCCTCTTTGTACCTTTTCAGTCGAATCTAAAGTGTCACTTCTCACTCTTCTTCACTCTTTTCATTGATATCACACATAAGCTCCATTTCCTTCTTAGAAAAGACACACTGCTAAAGGTAAAAGAGCTGTGATGTGAATTGGAAAAATTCAACAGATCTAAATGCATCAGTCTCCAACGCAAAATCATTGATCAGGACCAATTACAAGGCGTAAAGAGGCTTGGAAAATGGCCTGGAAATGGTGAGCCGAGATGGTGAAAGTAGTACTGATGGAAGCTAGAGGTTATTAATGATGGGAATTCTAATCCTCTGGAAGAAACTGCTTAAAATGTTCCCTTATTCTCTTTCTCATTCAGTTCCCCCAAATTTGACTTGTTCCGTTACTAAAAGTAGTGGGAGAAGAAAGTGAAAATTCAGAGAGTTAATTACAGATGAACTCACTGATATGGAAAGTGAGTTGCCTGTCTCCACCCATAGTAATTGGAGAAATTCCAAGACATGGAATGGAAAAAAAATAATTTTAATGTAATGAAAATTGCCATGCTTAAGGTACATGGATTGGCAGGGTTTTGAGAGAGATCAGGAGAAGAAACAGCCAGTTCATGCTCATGCACAGAACTGTTGCCTTGGAATCTGATGTAATTGCGTTTTTCTATTTTCGGCCGGTTTGGCGGCTCCATTCACTGTATGCCGGATGTGTCGAGTAGGCTGTGTGATATTGGCTTACGAGAGAGCTGGAAGAAACGAGTGTGAACTGCAGGAGAGAGACAGAGATGAGCCCCGCTCACGTCTGTAACTTTTAAATGATACTTAATGCACTGCCATGATCTCCAGCAGTCCTCTCTCTTCCCCTTGCTTTCCACCTTGCTCCCCTGCCGCCACAACGCACACTTTGAAGAGCTCAGGATTCCCCCGCGGCCGTGCTAGGATGGGGGAAGCGGATTTTTCGGAGCACACTGCTCATTTCCCAGGGGTGCGCCCTTCTATCTCACCCCCTAACACCCCTTCTGCAATACACACAACTGAAATGACACCCTGTGAAGTGTCAGACGCTTCACAAAAACACACTGTTGCATCAAGCTCAAACTAAAAAGAAATCTCCCTGTGGTGATAGTGAATCCTGATGAAAGACTAAGAGTCAATGATAAACAGGGAAAGAGGCACGGGGGAAGAAAAAGCTTTCAGAAAAACGTGTTATTTGTTGTGAAATTTGAGGGCGAATCGGTTCAAATGCAAAGCTTGCATTTAGGTCTTTAGCAGACAAAGCTAAAGCAAGTTTGCAGAAAAAAATCATTCTTATGAGACTTACCCCTCAGAATAAACAAACACAAACGTTCTAGAAATAGCGCACCTATAGTGAGCAGGTCGAAACACAGAAGGAAGCAGTGAGGATGAACAAAGAACAATTAGAACAGTTCTCTACATTTAATCAGATGCCAATGAATTTCCCACTCTATTTGAGTGCATGTTATAAAGGAGGGGAAATACAATTATTTTAAAGCTTTCAGCTGGATCTTCGCTGTCAGAGCCATTTCACACTGGCCTTTCTCAAAAACGCGTCTCATCACCTCGGCTTTTGCAGAAATTTTCGTAATTACATATCAAACACGAAGGCAGTGTGTTTTGCCTCTGCCCTTTTGTTCGACTTTATTCAGGCAATTGTTGACTCGTGCACACCCACACTATTTCTTTTGTTTTGCTTGCATTTAGAATTTTTTTGCCTTCCCTACTTTTTTCTCTCAGAATAATTTTGAAACTACTTGGTTTGTTGCATCTTTACGTGCTATGTACACAGCACCTCCCATCGATCCCTGTTCCAGTTATTTTATGTGAATGTTTGTTCCTTCAGGTTTGCTTTGGCAGGAGAGGACCTCTACTCTTTCTTTTTGAAAGAAAAGCTCAGTCACGTATGATTTTATCATGTGGAATGGTTCCACACCTCACCAAGCCTCTCGCTCTTTCACCAAAACACCCTTTGGCGGTTGTTGAACCTATTCTTCGGAAATCAAATGTTTAAGAAACACACACTGTTTTGAATCATGAAACAGAAACATGAAAAGGCTACTGGTCCAACATGAAGGTTAGTGCCTGTAAGCGGGGAGCACAAAACAAACTCCAATCTTCTGACTGGTTTGCCCGTTTATGTGTGTATGCAGATCCCACTTTGTATATCTCTTGGGTGTCAGCCTGTGCTATCATTGAGCCTTTGTGGAACAGTTTCCCTCAGGGAATTCTGGATATTGTAGTTCCAATCCCAACGGGCACCCCAGAGGGCCTTTGAGAAATTAGCTGACAGTACAACTGAGCAGGAGATGGGCAAGAAATCCCATGCTCTCCTCCAGGAATAGGGAGAGAGAGAAATTAAACGGAGCGTGAGAAACGAGAGCGTCCAGAAGAAGGATTAGACAAGGGAGTGGGTATATCTTCTCTCCTGTTACCTGAGCCTAACTGCCTCATATAAAATAATGCTTTATTAGTTGTCTGCGAGTGCAAAATTAAATGCGAGACCTCGTAGTTGCAGTGTTTAACGTCCGAGGTAATACATGCAAATCACCTCCTCAAGCAGGCACGAACGTAGGAGTCAGACCTGAACGCTCTGTGGAGGATGCACATTGTGTGTGTGTGTGTGTGTGTGTGTGTGTGCATGTCTGTGTGTCTGTAAAGAACCAGAACCATGAAAAGAATGGGAGAGTGTCAAGTGTGTGTGGGTGAATGTTTAACACCAGTCATCTTTACGCTCTGCAGCTTCAAATGCGTATGTGTGTTTGTCTGTCTTGAAAACAACTCCTGGATCTGGTCCACAGGGACTCTGCAGTGCAGTAAAGTGCATGAGTAGATCTGCAGTCAGTCAGGCACACACACTTGAGATACACATGGACACTCGAGCCATTGAAGGCCAATTAATGGAATTCAATGAGAGATCACACTGATTGTGATTATACGTTTAAACTATGCATTATTGGTTTCACGTTCAGTGGCCCAGAAACATAAAACAATTAACAACAACAACTCCACCAAAAAAAGAAAAAAAAAATTTAACTGAATGCTTCCACAATTAGTGGAAGTATGAATTAATTATAAAATGTATGGCGCTTGTAAAAAACCTCTGGTGCTTAGGAATTGTTTTATTTGAGCTGTCCTCTGCTTTAATATTTATAGTAGGGGTGTAACGGTAAACGTATTCATACCGTACGGTTCACGGGGCAAATTCCAAATGGAAGTGATCATCCCTATGCCTTTGAAGGGCAGAGCCCTTGGAGTGGGGACTTTGGAGTGAGCAGGACACGTGTGTGCCATTATGTAGTCGTTTGGAATGCACTTGGCAAAGGGAGCGACGTAATTTCCTCATTATCTTCAGCTGGGATGTTCCCGTGACAACACAGCATGGTGTCCGTCAGCTGATGTCGCTGTTTTACTGGTATATATGTCTTTTTATTGTTGTTAGCATAACTGTTGCAAATAAACATCCATTTTATATTTTACAAATATTTTAAAACATGCTATATAATATATGAAAACTAAAATATATAAAACTTTTTAAATTATAAAATTTATATTTGACGTACACCATGCTGCGTTGTCATGGGGACATCCCAGCTGAAGATAATGAGGAAATTACGTCGCTCCCTTTGCCAAGTGCATTCCAAACGACTACATAATGGCATGCACGTGCCCTGCTCACTCCAAAGTCCCCACTCCAAGGGCTTTGCCTTCAAAGGCATAGGGATGATCACTTCCATTTGGAATTTGCCCCGTGAACCGTACGGTACGAATACGTGTATCGTTAAACCCCTAATTTATAGGTATGCTCATAATGCGTAATTTTGGTGTAAAATAAATGTAAGATAACACACTACAAATAAAATGTGAACATTAAGCATACAATATGTGATTCTTGTATATAATACATTTTAATTTCAATGTATTTATTTATTTTACACAATAATAAAAGGCCTTATTTTTAATATCACTGCATCCCTATAGATTGAGTTTTAGCATTGTTACATAAAGGTCACTAACTAACTAATATAAACTGTGCATGTCCACATTATGTTTGCAAGGTTTTCTGGATATGAACTCCATCACGGAGTGATTACCTCCTCTCATGTTTTCTCTGCCCCATCTCTTCGAATGCCACAATGCATCTGGGCTCCAGACTGAAATGGGCATAAAAGAGGAGCAGCACAGTACAAACAGGGCTGGTAGTGTGTGATGAGGTGTATCTGAATTTAATGGTGCCATTAAATGCTGAATGTGCCTCTCCTCAATATACTCGTCTTGTCCTGTGTATGCAAAGGTGTTTGTGCACAAAGAAAGGGAGTGGCAATGAATGCTGCCAAGGTGCACTAACTAGGGCAGTCACGGTGATGAACTGATGCTAATGTTTTTATGTGATATTCTACTTTATAAAAATTGAGGAAAAATTAGGGCAGCAGTGAGACAGTTTGTAACCATAACTGTACAAAAATAACTTACTGTTTGTCAGCACTTCCTGCAGTCTTTTACCAAAAAAAAAAAAAAACCTCTCA